CTAAACCAGTCCTGTGATGTCTCCCAAGCGGTGTCTCGGGTGGTTGCGGGGCGAGCAACACATGAAGGCAGGAGCGCGAAGGGCGAGGAATGCGCTGCCTCTCCTAACCTCGCTTACGTTCACAAGCACTCAAAACATTGATATCAGATGTCAATATACTGATATATTAATTAGTATCATCCATTTATATACTTCTTTTCACCACAACCTCTTTAACTGTTCCGCTTATATTAAATAAAATGCAAACTAACCAATTGTCTAAGCACTTCTTTGCTCTTCGAACCAGCCACAGGCGTAGTTGCGGATAGTTCCCTCATTTCAGTCACTTTCGTTTTGTTCTAAAGTCTATCATCCGTAAATAGTTACTTAAAATGCCTCTCTTATTACTTTATATTGGAATTATATTTACAATGACAAAAACATACAAATAGCAAAGTTTATGAAATGCAATATATGAATTAGCAATACTGTACTAAAGGTGTTATGAAATCAATGAATGTAGTCTCTGCCCATTTTAGGTTATACATATTACTTGGATGTAGGCTGGAAAAACGAATATTTGGCTTTGGTGTATAAAAATAATTACCATATAGAACCCAAAAAGTGCTTTCTCACGGCATTGTCAATAACAGCTGATCGCCCATAACAACAACCAAATCGGGGAAACATCGTTAAATTTATCAACAGGGATAACAGTGCTGTTTTTTAGAACTAGAATTCCACATACATTAGGACCATACAAAAGGTGGCATTCACAGAATTTTTTCTTGCTCTTAAAGTTCATTCCACTGCTCCCTGTTCACATACACGAGATGCCCTAGGTCTGGGCTGCACAATCTTTTACAAAATTAAATATAAATGTCATAAAAAAATGGGGTAATGAGATTACTTATAACTACAATATTCTCTATTGTCTTTTATCAATAAGTATATTATAAGTCGCCGGACTGTCAAAATATTCAACTTTTCTTGCATATCAAATCATTAGCTAAGAACAAGAGCAAACAAACGTTTGCATTTAATGCAACGGCTGTATCTCCCACAGCGGATGCCTCCAAGTCACGGCGTTCAGAGCGCAGCTGAGCGGATCGGCCATGGCGGCGTGCCCTCCTAACGCGGCTGCCACGGCTGACAAGACCTGGTGAGTAGCTGGTCGTCCTCACCAAGTGGCGGCGGGTCTGGCCCTTCTCAGCTTCCTTGTCCTTCTCTCTCTCTCTCTCTCTCTCTCTCTCTCTCTCTCTCTCTCTCTCTCTCTCTCTCTCTCTCTCTCTCTCTCTCTCTCTCTCTCTTTCTCTCTCTCCTTTCTTACTTATAGACACACAAACACGCACACACACACACACACATGTATATATAAGTTTGTTTCCATACATACATGTAGAC